AGAGCGGCGCAAATTAGATAGTTATGATAATGTAAGTTGTATACGCAATTTAGTTGTTTGTGCAAGAAACATCATGACTCATGAGTAATGTAAGTGATAAGATAATGCTGAAAAGCACCCTTTTGGCAGCCAAGCAAGGTAACCTTAAAGTGCATATGCGTGGGGTCCGTGTGTTATTGTATAAAAGAGCTGTATGTTGTAAATATATTCAGATCACCAGATCAGTAGAGAATAGAATTGGGATTAGATTAATCGCTGGAACTGGGTTAGCATTGCCCAATTTAAGTACTACTACTACTATATATAATTCTAACCAAATTGCAAATTTCAACACGTTATAATGCCGTTTCCTGACCATCAGATTTCTGTCAAACCTTCCCCCCAAAGTCCAGGAAATGGCATTTCAGAGACCCTAAATTCAAAATTTTTCCGAGGGGGCATGCCCCCGGACCCCCCTAGAGAAACCTCGCACCTGCGGCGCTCGGCTCGTGCCTTCGACACTCGTTTATCAAGCATTACAATATAGGGGCGCATATTAGTTGAAAGCCAACTGGCCCCCCCCAGAAAATTAGTACCCAGCACGCCACTGCAAATTACCCATTATTAGTTTAGCCTACTTGCAAAATATTTTTGTTCTGGTGAATATATATTTATAATATAGTCATCCACCGTATATGAGCTGTTCTGCAATCTGATTGGTTGAATTACTCGCCGTATATCAGCTCATATACGGCGAGTAGCGAAAAACAAGATGGCGGTCCAAAAACTACATGAGAGTTTGCGAAGCAGAAAAAGGAAAATATTTAAGTATGAAAAACATAATAGTACAGGGAAAAACTATAAAAAAAAAAATTGACAGGTTAGCAAAATACATTTATTACGTAGAAATTAGTTTAAATACAAGTTTTTTAAAGAATTAATACCGAAACAACAGCGAAAAAACATGTTCATTGAGAATATAAATTGTTCAGAAAAGTTTGCAATGAACGACAAATGAATTTGCAGTCAACAAGCACTTACTATAGTACCAAACATCTGTATAATATATCTGAGCTTTCCTGTGAGATATAGAGGTTCTAAAACCATTTCTTTCACTTCGTCTTCGAGTTGTAAAACAAAAATATTTCAAATTTTCAAGCGGTTTTTGGCCGAACAAATTGTCAATACATTGTAACAGTGAATAATTATTTACTGCTTCAGTTAATGGCTATATTAGACTATATTATAAAACAATTATACCATTCGCTCTCGTCGTATATGGCTGATAGCCGACTCGGTGCTACGCACCTCATATGAGCTGTCATTCACCGTATATGAGCTGTTCTGCAATCTGATTGGTTGAATTACTCGCCATACATTATATCTTATTGGATTCTTCTGAGCCCAATATGGCAAAATATTAAGTCGAGACTTCAATATTGGGCGAGACCGAAGGTCGAGCCTAATATTGAAGTCGAGACTTAATATTTTGCCATATTGGGCGAAGATGAATCCAATAGGAGTTTTATTATATCGAACAAAACAATTCTATAACAAAAATTGTCAATAAGCGATAAAGTAAATACAGCAAGACTAATAAAGCGACAACATTACTACATATATCGGCGGCGAATTTGCTTAAACAACTAAAAAAAAGTTAATAAACCTGTTTTTACAAATATGTGTGCATAAATAAACTCAATTCCATGTACGTTTAATTTAAATTAAAGGAAATTTGACCTAATTTTAATGAAAAAAATAATATTACTAACTTCTAGGCTGTTGCAAACAAATAAATTTCGCGAAGACAAGTTTTATTGTTTTTACATTTTTACATTTATAATCATTCAACAAAATTCTATATGCTAGTCCTTAATAAGGAAAGACTGTTGGTAAACTGATAGTATTCAAAAGTTATCAGTAACCAGTCAAAGATGTTTAACATCCTATTATTATTATTGTTTGGAATTTTCTTAGTATCCAGTCAGGATACAAGTCATTCACAGTCTGGCATCCAAAACCAATTTTCTGGTATCCTGTGGAGGGATACTGTACATTTCAGACCCTGTCAGCCATATTTGGCTTCCCTTTTCGATTGGATAATTGATCAAAGTCAGTCTTCTATGTATAATTATATACTGTGTAGTTGAGTAATTGGCAATGGCACATTATCAACCTCTGTGACCACTCCCCTTGCTAATGTCAATTTGTCTCAGTCATATTGGGTGTATGCAATGGGATAGTTCTACAGCTTTTCTGGATGATATTGCTTAATTAATATTTGTTTTCATTCAATTCATCATGTTGCTTATGTCTTATATGTATACATCCCACTTAATATATATATATATATACAGTATACTCCTCTGTATTGCTTTATAGTATATAACCCATTTGTACCATTATAATATTATTACTTTTATGTCAATTGTTGCTATTCTTATATTGCTGTTGTTATTGCTACATGCATGTAGTAGCTGTACTTCTACTGCTTAACTTCTGCTGCTGTCATTTTAATATTTATATATAAAAATGATAGCATTTTAATATTGCTATCAGTGACACTCGGGGCAACCCCCCTCCTCCGCAGCCCCACCAAAAAATTTGTTTTGAAAATCTTTGAATGATAGCTAAATAAGTCTGTTTAACAAAGCTGTAACAACAATTTGTCAACTGTGAAAGCATTATTGAGTAGGTTATAAATTAAGCTTAAAAGAACTAAGATTTTCAACTACAAATGGTAGTCATATATTGGTAACCTAATCCCCACCCCCCCGGGTGGCTATTGTCACACTTTTATTGTATCTATAGTACACAGTCCTGAGCTACGTACTGTTTCATGCAATGTCCTTGCTGCTCACTGGCACTGCAATTTAACTAGTGTCATTGTGTCTGCAAGCTGCTGCTCAACCAGTACTCTCTTCTCTAGTGGCTGGAGCTAATACACTGTCCACATTTTAGCAGTTTTATACTATATCTTCAGTGCTTGCCTTATGCTTTAATAGGTGAAATTTGCCTCCTTGAAAGACAGCATGCATATTAATACTACTAGCTAGTACAAAAGAAACTACGCAGTTTATATAACTGTATGATTTATAAAATGTTCTACCGTCTTACACTACTTTATATACTAAAATACCAATCTGACCTCTACACAAATAAACGTTATTATAACTCAAAATTAAATTGGTAATTTCAGTATATAAAATAGTGTAGGACAGTACTAAAATGAACAAGGAACTAATGAGCATATTATTTCATACGAAATCAGTAACTATCCAGCCGTCAATAATTCTATATTTCATTGTAAATCTGTATTATAGCAGACATTCTGCTTGATGGCTGATGGCTCATTGATGAACACTCAAATCACCCGGTGACCGTTCGTGTTAAAACATGCACATTTCTCTTGTAACCTTGGCGTAAACTAATATTGGCATGACATTGTTTACTTTATGTTAATACTCACCACAATTGCCATCAGTTTGACGATCTAAACTCATGTTTATTCAACACTTTCTTGAAGATATTTTGATATTTATGTAAATTTAAAAATACTTTTGAGATGAATGCGTCAGCGATACGCTTTACTGTGCCTGTCAGCGTGCGTTAGTTTCAACACAAATTAAGGCTATATCTTATTTTGAGCCTTTTTTAACAATTAAGATATAACCTTAATTTGAGTAGGAGATCATGTTGAATCTAAATACATATGGAGACGAAGAAGTTGCATTTATCAGACAGAGAAGCGGCGAGCCATTAAAATGGCGGCAATTTGGCGGAATATCGAAGTCACAATATCAGACCTCTCAACTTTGCAGAGAAGTTAAGAGTGAGATTGGGGATGTGGATGACATGCACCTGTGTAAACGTCCGGGGGTCTGAAATGGCATTTCGTACATTATGAGAGCTTCATAACGTCCTTTAAGACAAGGCACTTTAGTTACAATAACTGTATTTCTGTGACATACAGTAATCAGCTTTAATTTGCCTTTGATAATTTACATATAAAATTCTGCTAGGACTGATTCTGCCTTTTGTCCGCCATATTTACATATGCGTACTATTTTGTATCCAAATTGCGGGCAAATTGTCGGGCCGTATATGCAGGAACAAGAACACGCGATTATATATTCGACTCGCGATCCGTATAATGATTAATAATGTGCATTTATTAAAGAATATAATATTATATTATTGAAAAAAATACTATGAAACTGCTATATGCGTGAGATTTACTAAACGTGGCGTGAGAGCGTGAGATTGAAGCGAATTGCGTGAGACTCACGCCGAATGCGTGAGAGTTGAGAGGTCTGCAATATCGAAGGTAAAATACACTGCACTGTTACAAAAGTGTATGAAACCTCCTTTGAAATCTTCTTCAGCCATTTATGATTATGTAAAAGTACAATAACTGGATGATATTTGCGAGATTCGGCGATAAAAAGCAAACAAGACGGCAAAATATGGCTGAAATCGTGTTTTCGTGGGGGGTAAGTGAGATAAAATGTATTATATTTAAAGAAAACAATGACAATCTTTAAGAAATCAACAATATTTATATTAAACTAAGCACAGTTTTTCACCCCATGATAATTTTTTTTAGGAAATAAGAATATTTCATTTCTGCCAGGCATATTAGTTATTTTGTGCATAATCAGCAATTTACCTGGGGTGGTGCCAACCTCGTACCCAGGCTCTTACCTTCGCACACCCCAAGCTGCGGAAAGACCCTGGTGCCGGCTGGTCACGTGGCTCCCAGATTTTGGGTGCTAAAATAAATTGCTATTCAGGGAGGGGTGGTAGAAATGATTTGTACGTATTGAAATTGTTTCTGAATTTGTAAAATAGTAAAATTCTGACCGTAAGAGACAATAATAAAAGATTTTTTCTTGACGAAATGTTAAAACAACAGATTAATCATGTGTTGCAGCCGAAAGAGTATCATATTACTCTCAAGGATTACAAATATCTCATATTTCACTGTCACTATATCGGCTTAGCAAAAGCACGCCAAAGAAATTTAACAAAAAGATCTCCTGGATCAACTGAAAATAGTTCTCGTTGTCGATTATATAATGGTGTACAAGATCAGATACTGATTGTAAGAATCTCTTCAACAAAACAAATTAAAGAATTTTGAATAACACGGAGTTGATTCATGGCGAGAGACTGCCGCATGTTGATGATTTTCCTTATTTGATCTGCCGATCGAGTGCCGTCCTTGTGAACGACGTTCAAGAATGTAATTTCCGAAACACAGAAATCATTAGTAAAAGATTCACGATCCAAGCGATGCCCTGAAGTTTTTCTATCCGTTGCCAGATCTTCGGCAAATGTTGCTGCAGTTGAAAGTCGAAGGCGCAGTTTGGCTTTTACACTGACTTTGTCAATGTGTCCTCCTCGAGTGATGAAACTAGATCTGCTACACCTTTACCCATGTCAACAGAAGTAAGTCAATTGTTTATGAATATCATCTACCAATATACTTGACCTCAATTAATAATATAGTCATCCGTATACGTATGTTAGTATAATCCCCGTTTAAACCCAAAATGTACAATCCAATTGTGATTTCTCCATGGAATATTTTTTGCGAATATTTATAGAATGGCAGACGCGCGAAGGCCACTTGATTTCAGTCGAGATATTTGATCTTGTATCAGTGAATTCAAGGGAGATACAACTATAACAATATACGAACCGTCCTGAGTAGATATCTCAAATGATTTCCATGGAGAAAGAAAATGGA